AAAAGCCCCCCCCCCCCCCCCCGGGGGGGGGGAAAAAGCCCCTTTTTTTGGGGGGGGGGGGGGGGGGCACACGGCGCGGGACGCGGAGCAGCATTGGGTGGGGAAGGATCGGGTCGGGGGGGATGCGAACAAAACATGATTTTGCTGTTTTTATGTTTCGCCGTACTTCCAGCCTGACACCTTCCTCCAAACGGCATAGCATTCGTCGGGGCCCCTTTTAGACATTATTCGGGACCCCCTAGCATTCGTCGGCGCCCCCCTTTAGCATCCGCCGTAGCCCCCCCCCCCCTCTAACAAAAAGAGGGGTAGACAACCCACGGAATGGGTCAAGGTTGTACAGGACGTATGGAAGGGGTTAGACATCGACGAAGATGAAACGCTGGAAACGGAGGGTCTACAGGGGTTCAAGGAGAAGATATCTGTTGCTTGTGCCGAGAGAGAAGAACAGAATCTAAGGAAAGAAACCAAGGATAAGGAGGGTCAAGAAGTGTACGGAATGTTGAAAGAAGGAATAGGGTTCAAGGATTACCTACATGGACCAATGGATGCAGGGACAAAGCTTAAGGTCAAATTCAGGACCGGGGACATAGGCCTTCGAGAACGTCGACGAAGACATAGGACTGTAGACGACGAAGACGACAAGTTCAAATGTGATTGCGGCTTCGAATGCGAAGACCGTGTTCATGTAGTCGTGGAATGTCCGTGGTACGAAGAGGAGAGGGAAGTGTACATGACCGAGCTGGGAAAAATACAGGGGACGTACAGGGAGATGTTTGAGGCATGGAATAGAGAGGAGAGGACGGTAGCTGTACTGGGGAGAAGGAAGTGGTTTGAAAAGGCGGGAAGGGATATCGTTAGGATAGACAGACTAGGGAAGACATTTTTGAGCCACCTTTGGCAAAGTAGGAAGGAACGATTGGCCATCGGTGATCGGTCCTGTGGGAACAATGCTCCGTCCTCTCGAGGACGCGTGGTCAATGGTCTAACCGCTAAGGCATGCAAAACATGAGAGTACGCCCCCCCCCTCTAGCATTCGTCGGGGCCACCTCTCTCACCTCGGAGGCATCGCTCCACCCTAACCCCGCGTGCGGCCCAAAGCTTCGCCCCGGGTCCCCCGCTCTTCGTCCATCCCTGGACCAGCACACTGCTCCCCCCCCTCCCGCAGTCGCACGCGGCGAGCGTGACGTCATCGCTCGATAGCTCCCCTGCGATCGCGGAAGCATACGGAACCCCCGCCCCCCCCCCCCCCCCCCCCCAAGGGGAAAAAAAAAAAAAAAGGGGTTTTTTTTTTAACCCCCCCTGGTTTTGGGGGGGGTGTGTGTTGAATTTTTTGGGGAACAAATTAAAATTTTGCTGGGTTGGTTTCCTTTTTGGGGGGGGGTTTTTCGCCTGGGTTTGTTTTTTTGCCCCCGAGGGGGGAAAATTTTTAATTTTAACACGTGGGGGAAAAAACCCAAATAATTTTTAAAGCCACAAAAAAAAAAACTTAAAACCGATTGGGGGACCCAAAAAGAACCCAAAATTTTCTTTTTTTATGGGAGAGAAAGGGGCGGGTGGAATAAAAAAAAAAAAGTTAAAAAAAAAAAACGATTAAATTTTCCCCAAAAAGGGG